CCCCCCCCGCCCCCCGTGGCCCAGCCACCACCATGAGCAGGGCCCCCCAGTCCCCGCGACCTGGGACTGACAGATCTGGGAACAGCCATTCCATTCCAACACTCAGCTCTCACCTAAGAGGCCACCTCTTTAAAGAAGCCGTCCCTCAGGACCTGCCTGATTTCCAGTTTCACCCCAAACCGACCCTGAGACAAGAGCACGGTGCCGGCAGCTTATGGGGAAGATGTCCCCCTGGTTACAGAGCCCCACGTGCATTCTGTGTGTGTTTTTCCTCCATCTGCACTGACGAGAGAAGAGTTGTTTAAAAGCCCCTGAGCGGGGAGGAAGCGGAGCTGCACATCCACCACTTCCTGTCCCTCCTTGTCTGATGGTTTCTCTTGGGGACACTCTGGTCTGTCGGGGGCGGGGAGACAGAGAAAGCCTGAGGCACCGAGACTGGGAAGACTTCTGCGCAAGGCACCGGGCCCTCCAGGGTGGGAGCAGAGGACAGGGGGGCCCTGATGGGTGCCCCACACCCACCTCGCCATTCTCTATCCTGGTCGCTGCTGTGATGCTAGCTAGACACTCACTTTATTATTATTTATTTATGTATTTATTTATTTATTTATGTTTAACTTTATTATTATTTATTTATGTATTTATTTATTTATGTATTTATTTATTTATGTTTAACCCTACCTGAAGATATTTTCCCATTGATTTTTAGGGAGCGTGGAAGAGAGGGAAAGACAGAGAGAAATATCGATGTGAGAGAAACACATCGATAGGTTGCCTCCTGCACGAGCCCTGACCAGGGCCTGCAACCAAGGTACGTGGCCTTGACCGGAATCGAACCCGGGACCCTTCAGTCTGCAAGCCGATGCTCTAACCACTGAGAACACCAGCCAGGGCACGGGGTGGTCTCTGAGAAGTGGGACTGTGGATGACCGCTTCCTCCCTATGAATTTCTAAAATTCCTTTAGCAACAGAACAGCGCACTGAACAGAAGTACCCACGAGAGTATTAAAACACCTCTCCGCCTTGACTGTGCCACCCACAGCCAGCACCGAAGTCCTCTCTCCTTCCATGAGTCACCTGGCTTCTGCCCGGTGACTACGCTTGGAGTGTTCAACCCCGGACCTTCAAACTTCTCATCCTTGTTCTGTGTTTCCTTAAAGAAGGGTTTTCAGTGGCTAAGACTTGCCCGACTCTGCCCCTCTCTTGCCGCGGGGCAATTTCCACCCACTCTCTGTGGTCACTTTCTTCATCTGAAAATAGATAGTAGTCTCACCTCCCTTCCCAGGGCTGTTGTGCAATGGAATGAATTAAAACGTGCGAAGGCAGGTGCTCCGCGCACAGGCACTGGTAATGGCCTGTGGTAATGACCTCAGACTGCGGGCGGTGATGTGAGCCCCCCCGGGGCCTGCAGACACACAGACTGCTCTGCACACCCGACCCCACCCCCGCAGAGGTCATGGGAGTCCCTACCACAGATGGATCCTGCGACAGGTGCAATGCAGGGCCGCCCTGCCCTGGAGGGCTTCCCATACAGGGAGGACAGACGCGTCCTTGTAAGACCACCCACCTGGCCTGGGACGAGGCTGGAACACGAGTGAGGGAGCTGCCCATCAACCAGGAAGAGGCCGACCAGGTGTCAGTATTTTTTCTTTTATCCTCACCCGAGGATATATATATTTTTTAAATATATTTTATTGATTTCAGAGAGGAAGGGAGAGGGAGAGAGAGAAACATCAATGATGAGAATCATGGATTGGCTGCCTCTTGCACACCCCACACTGGGGATCAAGCCTGCAACCCGAGCATGTGCCCTGACTGGGAATCGAACCGTGACTTCCTGGTTCATAGTTCAATGCTCAACCACTGAGCCACACCAGCCAGGCTGGGGATATGTTTTTGTTTTTGTTTTTAGAGGGAGAGGAAGGGGTACAGAGGAACTTGGATGTGGGAGAGAAGCATCGATCGGTTGCCTCCCGTGTGCGCCCTGACTGGGATCAAACCCGCAGCCTTTTTGGAGTCTGGGATGTCGCTCCCACGGAGCCACCTAGCCAGGGCAGGTGCCATCACTGCCTATATGGTTCTGATGGAGACGCTGGTAGAGCGTTCAGGGACAGTGGCAAACCTGGGAGTGAATGTCCCTGTTTTCCTCCTGGGACTGATGGGCGTTGAAGTTATGTAGCCCACGTGGGTCAGAGTGAGGAGCCACTGGAGGACGGCAGCCACGTGCACGTTACCCAACACCCTGACCTTGTAGAACGTGCAGAAGTCGCCCCGCAGGGGTCACTCTCACTTCCCTTCCTGACCAGTCCATGTAAATAACCCCCGACCCACAGACCCACACAAGTGGCCCTCTCCTTCAGCTGCACCGCTCTTATCCTCACGCCATTCCCTCTAAACCGGTGGTTCTCAACCTGTGGGTGGCCACCCCTTTGGGGGTCGAACGACCCTTTCACAGGGGTCGCCTAAGACCATCAGAAAACACATATATAATGACATATTGTTTTTGTGATTAATCACTATGCTTTAATTATGTTCAATTTGTAACAATGAAAATACATCCTGCATATCAGATATTTACATGACGATTCATAACAGTAGCAACATGACAGTGATGAAAATAATTTTATGGTTGGGGGTCACCACCACATGAGGAACTGTATGAAAGGGTCGCGGCATTAGGAAGGTTGAGAACCACTGGTCTAAAGGATCCTGGGTTCAACTCCGGTCAAGGGCACGTACCTTGGTTGCAGGCTCCACCCCAGCCCGGGCCCCAGTCTGGACAAGTGCAGGAGGCAACCAATCGATGTGTCTCTCTCTTCCCATCCCTTCCAGTCTCTCTAAAAATCAATGGAAGAATATCCTTGGCTGAGGATTAACAACAAAAAAAGGAGGGAGGGAGGTGGTGGAGACAAACGGCATTGATTTGTTTTTTATCTGAAACAGCTCTCAGCAGATTTCATCTTGGGCACCGACGTGACTACACACTTTCCGGGGGACGGGCTCACTTCCCAGTGAGTCAGGATGGCACGAGGCCAAAGCTCACCTTCACGGCTCCGGCTTTTGCTTTGTGCTTGACAGGCTTTCCACCGTCACAGAAATTTATCTCGATGACTTACAGCCTAATTGCTCCTACCTCAGACCATTATTTCAGTCGAAAGTCGTTTTCCCCAGAAGGAACCCTCAACTCTAAAAATGTTTTTATCATGAAATATGTCAGAAATACAGGCAGGAGCATAGAATGTCTATGTATAGTGGGAGAATCATAATAGAAACAGAATAAGGGAGGGGGACACAGGAGGTACTGCTCAAAGGTACAAAGCCTGCCGTCACCAAGACTGTGACCTTGAGCAACAGGGGGCTGGGGGCACCGACTCCCCGCGTGGCTGAAAATCCACACAGAACTTCTTTCTCTCTGAAAACATAACTACTAATCGCCTACTGCTGACCGAAAGCCTTACCGATAACATAAACGGTCTATTTACATGTTTGTCATGGGTATTACATACTGTATTCTTACAGTCAAGTAAGCTAGAGAAGAGAAAATGTTATTAAGAAAATCATAAGGAAGAGTATTTGCAGTGTTTATTGAACAAACCCACGTATAAATGGAACTGTGCAGTTCAAACCCATGTTGTTCAAGGGTCAGCGGTAGTTAGAAATTAGCTAAGAGGATCGATCTGATGTCAAGTCTCTGATCACAAATAAAAACGCTGATTAAGAGGGCGGCAGGAAACTTATCTTCAAACTCACCGAGTTGTATACATGAAGTACGTACAGCTTTCTGTATGTTACTCAGACCTCAACAAAGGGGCAGCCCCATCGCCTCCTGCTCCTCAGAGGTGACCATTATCCTGATGTTTATCTTAATCACTCCTTCTCATTTCTTTTCTTTTTTAAGAATTAAAAAAAAATTGACTTATAGAGAGAGGGGAAGGGAAAGGGCGAGAGAAAGCGAGACATCAATGTGAGAACAGCTGCCTCCTGCACACCCCCTACTGGGGACTGAGCCCGAAACCCTGCAAGGGACGACGCGCCAACCAATGAGCCACGCTGGCCAGGCAGTAAGTTCATGTCTAATAAACGAATCTATGCTGGCCTCCAAACTACAATCCAAAACAGGAAGAGAGATTCTGAACATTCCTTCCACATCCAATTTCTTAGAGAGCGGAGAACAAAAAGGACAACTGAAAAAAAGCCCACATGAAGTAAGTGTGCAAAAGTGTTTGCAGAATCAATTAGCTTTTGACCCCCTTGTCAGGCAGGGCGTTTTCCTTACAAAACAGATTTCCTTATACGCCGCAAACAGCACTGCCCCCACCCAGTATCTCTCCGCTTCTAAGGCTTTCAGTTATTGCGAAACTCACCTTTCCGTAATATTAATTTCAAGAAAGTTCAAGCCAGTGGAACTTCCTGGAGTGTGAAAAGAAGGACCATTGTCCACTTACCAGGCGCACAGCGAGCTGGTCAGCAGCGTGGGAGCGCAGGTTTGCCTGTCTGTGCAAAAGAAGAAGGTAATTAGAATTCCGGTTGTAATAAATACATATAATCTCCTCTTTAGAGCGTTTGTTCTAGAGAATGCTCGTGTAGGCCAAGTTCTTAGAAACACTTTCCTCCGAGCATTCTCAGTATTGCTGAAAGGGCTCCAGAAGTCATTCAGTACCAGGGAAGTCCCACGTCCTAAGCTTTGCTGGTTCCTCCTCAGGGAGCCATGAAGTCCCAGTTTGGTAGATGGCTGGGGTGGAAACAACATGAAATCTCCATCAAATCTCCCCAACGTTTGGTTCTGAGGGGACACCATGCTGGCCTCGGGCTATCGGAACAGTTTAACCCAAGATTTGGGTATCAGACCAAACCATACGGTTTCTATCGACAATAGGAATGGCAAAATTTAAAAAGAATCGAAGCGACCCCTAGATGCCCCATTTTCTCAGTTTGGCCATGTGGTAGATATAGCGGCTTTAAAGACCACGAAGACGAGGCGGGGAGCCTTGGCCACGTTCAGTGTCTAAATACTAAACTGGGTTCATCCACGCAGGCCTTGAGACAGTTACAAGGATTTCCATTGTAGGGGAAACCAATGCGAATCCAGTATTGAAGAACAGATTCTGATAGAGCAGCTAAAATGTGTAAGACCTTTGCTGACAAAGAAAAGAAAAAAAGCCAAAACTGTGGAACAGGCAGCAAAGACTGCTAATACGAAGCTTGACCAGCGAGCACCGCATTCAGCGAACACCCTGGAAATGCAACACCCAATCCTCAGGCCCCAGATTACCCTCCAAACTCTCCGTTATTCCTTAATAACGTACCAGGAGGGACTAGTGAGGTGATGGTTTCCGTACTGTACAATCAGTTCCCTGGTTTCAAGGAAGTGCCTTTGGTACCTGGGAGGCATGATATTGCACTTGTTGAATTTGAAAATGATGGACAGGCTGGAGCTGCCAGGGATGCTGTACAAGGATTTAAGATCACACTGTCCTGTGCCGTGAAGATCACCTATGTCAAGAAATAATGTCTGGGCTCTGGCCAGCGTGGCTCAGTGGATCGAGCATCAGTCTGCAGACTGAAGGGTCCCAGGTTCGATTCCAGTCAAGGGCACATGCCCAGGTTTCGGGCTCAATCCCCAGTGTGGGTCGTGCAGGAGGCAGCTGATCAATGATTCTCTCTCATCATTGATGTTTCTCTCTGAAATCAATTATATATATATATATATATGCATTTCAAGCCCAGAAGTGGGCCCTGTGTTGGGGGAGGAGGCACTGGTAGTGGGAACACTGTGAGAAAAGGCTGAAGAACATGGGGTTCCATGGGAATGGCAATAAATCCATTTGGGGGGAGGGGACGGGACAGGTGCCAAAGGAGGGCTGATGTCAGATTCAGAAGTCCATGTGTAACTAGACTAATGAGTTTAGGCTGCGGAAGGATGTGAAGCCGAGTGTTCCCGTGGGTAAGAGATGGGAACACGAGATGAGCTAGGAGGCCGAGTACACCTTCTGAAAGGTGATGACAGCTCCAACTAGGTCAGTGCCTGTTGAACAATGGAAGGGACGGATGTCAGAAACATTTCTAAATAATAAATGACTGGTTACCGGCAGGGGAACTGAGGGGTGATGAGTTCTGTGGGAGGAAGGGCAGGTGTCAGGATGGAGGAGGAATGGAAGCTAATGAATTGGAGGTTTTTTGTCTCGAGACTCACTGTTCTCAGGAGATGGAATGTCCTCGGCTAGAGATAACGTGGACCTTTCACGGCCACACCTAAGAAACAGTTCTTTGGAACAAACGTTGCCGAGTGTCTCCCTCCTCCTCTCAAGGGAAAGAACGACCTGCCAGTGCAGCCAGACTGCCCCGCCAACACGCTGAGGAAACATCCCAGAACGTTTTAATTCTCCCTTCGTTCGTGATCATCTATCTCTAGGACACGATCCACATCTGCTTTTTCTTTTGGTGGGTGTTGCCTCCTCTGCACCCTTCTCTTCGTACCCCTTCCTTGGGCCTGTGATACTCTGTTTACATGTCTGCACCCTTCTGTGAACTCCTTGAAAAAAAAAGGGGGGGCTGTCTTATTTATCTGATTTGCTTTTAGGTATTAGTACTTTCCCCATTTTTATCAATTACATTCTTAAAAGTAGCATAACTGGGGGTGGTGAACACACAATGCAGTGTACAGATGATGTGTTACAGAATTGTTACCAGTGTCACCCCAATACATTCACTAAAAAAGGGAAAACAATATTCTGATGGAAAGAAAAAGTAGCCTAACCATTTGTGTCGAGCGAGGTGGAGTAGAAATCTTGGGAGAACAGACGCAGGTAATGAAACCCACCGACCCAGCCTCAGAATACAGGCGCGGCACCATGAATGAGGAATGAGATTAGACACGACAAATTAAACCCGTCAGAAAGTTATCAGTAAGGGACTCATCAGAGGTACCCGGGCAGAGGCCAGCGGGAAAGGGCTCCCACACCGCCAAACCTGGGGCAATCTGAACATCATGTAATGATAGTAACGGGAAACAACACACTGAAAACATGGTGATTCCTGAGTGTGGTGAGAAATGGACTTACATCATTTCCGGTACCTCCCTAAGGAAAAAAGCAACGTTATAGCACAGGAAGCTTGGGAGAACCACCTTAACCAGGAGATCGAGGTGGACAATCTCAGGAAGGGGCAACTCGAAATCACGTGCCTCTGACGGGACGCAATGAGGACTCGGCGTCGCTTCATGAAATGCCTCCCAAAGGTGCACAACTTGGATCTCATTGAGGGGGAACCGCAGACTAACCCGCACGGAGCGCATTCTGCAAGGAGCTGCCTTTCAACCCGCACAAGTGTCAGAAGCCAGGACAGAGGATCTGCTCCGGCCTCTAAGGAAGCAACAGCTCATTCTAACCTGGACCCTCTGATTATGCAGGGTGTTCCTGGGAGCCCGGGGGACACGGATGGAGCCGAGATGGAGATGGGAGCAGTGACCACTAACTCCCTGGCTGTGATGGTGGCTGACGCAGGGGAGTGTCTTGGTGGCAGGAAATAAACACGGAAGTATTTGGGGTGACGCGCCATCAGGTTGGCAACTTCCTTTCAGATGGTTCAGAGGCAGAAAAAGAAAGTTTTTTTTTTTTACTGTAAATGCAACCTTTCCAGAGTACAGTTGCGATAGTTTCAATATAAAAATTTTATTTAAAAAAGTATCAGTTATTTTATTTTGGCAGTTCAATTTTTTTGAAAGAGGAGGTAGGCTGTTTCCAAACAAGGCTGGCCAGATGGGAAGAAATCTTCAACTCCGACTTGGCCTCATGAATTTGAGAATCAAAGCTTACGTGAGGCCACCTCTGTGGAGCTGCAGGCGCCCGCTCGGAGCGCTGGGCTTCTCGCCAGGCCGGCGCACTGGACTCCTCCATGGCCTCTGCTGGGAAGTCACTGGCCAAGGGACTGCTTCAGAGCCTCATACATCAGCCGGTCCTGGGAGGGGGGGGAAGACAGAACACAGAGCTGATCACTGTTTTGGGATGAACTGTGTCCCCCCCCAGAATTCATATGCTGAGGTCCCAGGACTTCAGAGTGACCTTATTTAGAGACAGGGTCGTTAAAGAGGCAATTAAGTGAAAATAAAGTCGTGAGGGTGGGCGCTACTCCCAACAGGACTGGCAGCATCTTTGCAAGGAGATTAAGACACAGACAGGCACGGAGGGAGGGAGGTCCATGTCATTTGTAAGGGGCGGGGCCTCAGAAGAAACCAGCCCTGCCAACACCTTGATCTTGGCCGTCTCATCTCCAGAACTCTGAGAAATAAACTGCTGTGTCTGAGCCCCCAGTCTGTGGCAGTTTGTTACATCAGCCCGAGCCAACCAACACAGAGCTGACCTCCCCTCCCCTCATCTACGTCCATACACATGCCTTTCTCCAGGGAGTACCCATGACTCTCATAATTGTTGACATAAAAAGTTTGCCCCCAAATCAGGGTAAAAGATGCTTATGTCTCTATCTAATTAGTAAAGCAAAATTCGAAACCATACTGAGTCCGGACTGGAATGAGAGGCAAAAGCGGAGGCTGCGTGAGCAATACTATTTGTCAGAAACTGTCAGAGTATTTTTCAATGGGGTTGGATCATTCTACATTTTCAACAACGAAGTATGAGAGTTCTAGTTGCTTCACATTCTTGCTACCCTTTGGTGTTGTCAGTCTTTCACATTTAAGCCATTCCACTCCTATACGTTTATCCCAAAGCAATACAGCAAGTTTCCATTTTCCAGCCCTTTAAAATATTTTTAAAAAATCAAATTTTGGCCGAAACCAGTTTGGCTCAGTGGATAGAGCGTCGGCCTGCGGACTGAAGGGTCCCAGGTTCGATTCCAGTCAAGGGCATGTACCTGGGTTGCGGGCACATCCCCAGTAGGAGATGTGCAGGAGGCGGCTGATCGATGTTTCTCTCTCATCGATGTTTCTAACTCTCTATCTCTCTCCCTTCCGCTCTGTAAAAAATCAATAAAATATATTTTAAAAAAAATCAAATTTTGTTAAAGTATTCCTCTGGATAGTTAAAATGTTCACAGGCTCAAAAAGAACTATAGCCCTGGCGGCGGACTCAGTGGGCGGAGTGTTGTCTGCACTTAGAGGTCGCTGGTTTGACACCCAGTCAGGGCACATGCCTGGGTTTGGGACTCGATCCCCAGTAGGAGGTGTGCAGGAGGAAGCCGACTGGTGCTTGTCTATCACATCGATGTTTCTCTCTTTCTCTCCCCTCTCCCTTAAAAAATCAAAACATATTTAAAAACATGTACATAAATAGTTATAGAGTGAAAAAAGGCTCTGTTCTATGCAGCCCTCCATCAATATATCCTTTTAGATTGTCCTCTGCATATATGTGCAAATACACTAGAATCTGGTGCTTGTCTATCGCATCGATGTTTCTCTTTCTCTCCCCTCTCCCTTAAAAATCAAAACATATTTAAAAACATGTATATAAATAGTTACAGAGTGAAAAAAGGCTCTGTTCTATGCAGCCCTCCATCAATATATCCTTTTAGATTGTCCTCTGCATATATGTGCAAATACACTAGAATCAAGCAGCATCACTAAGACATACATGTATCCTTCCTAAAAGGATAAAAAGACATCTACAATGTCCGGAATTATAGGTTCAGATGTGCTTTTAATAGAATCCACTGGCTTGAATCTCTCATGTAGTCAATACATTCTAATTAGCAAAAGCTACTGTCAGTGTAACATTAATGGAGTTGAGTGACCAGGTTAGCAGGTATCTATGTATACATTTATGGAAGTGCTTACCATACAACTCCTAATTGCTCATAAAGATTAGGAACTATGTCTACATGATTTTATATCTTTTAAGTCCAGCAGCGTGTCTGGCCTAAGTATATAGTAGGTACATGATAAATGTTTATGTACAGATAGAAGAATGAGATCTTAGGCAATCCATTAATACACTAGGCGTAAGGGGTGGTTTTTCCTCTCATAAATGTCAATGTGAGAAATAATCAGGCAAATAGATGACCCATATTATCCTGAGTGTGAAGAAAAAAATCAAAGTTCTCTGGCGGTGGGTGTGAAAACCACTAAATCACTGAGTTAACAAAGAGTAGGGTTTCTACGATGTGGGTTTTATAGAGGACAGGAAAAAGGTGTAATTTATGTTTGAGTGAGACTGGCTTCCTGATAGTGGAACAAGGCCATAGTGGGCGGAGTGAAAAGACTATAATTTGAGGTAATAAAGAGGTGGGAAAATAATCTCAAGGTCTCAACATTTATTAACAGTTAACCCTGCCCCAGGTCACTGGTGAGCCGTTAAGGCTGAAAAACAACAACAAGCCAGCCGAGTAAGTTATGCCCTGCTGGTCTGTGAAGTGACACATGCTGGACACGAGGGCTTGGCTTCGCTGAGCAGAGAAAATAAAGGATGACACAGCTGAAATGAACATTCTGGATTCAAAAAAGCAACTGGCAAAAAAGAGTCCCAGCTTAGTTGCTGGACTGTCATAACACATCGCCAGCCTATTGAGTCTTCTTGGGACCACGACAGACACAGCCCCTCACCAGAAAGTAGGGCCGGGCAGGATCTTCAGATGGAGCCTGGCGGGTGGGTACCAGCAGAGTGGGAGTGGATGGGGCAAACAGGCAGAGCTCAGAAGAAATGTTGCTCACCGTCCTCACTTCCCACCCTCAACCCGTTAGTGAGGATTTACTGGGCCAGGTGACAATGTCTGCATTTGGCCTCTAAACCAAACCAGACCCTACTGTTACGCCAGCCAAAACGTGGACATCAAATCCACTTTACCTGCTGTTACTATCTGACCCCAAGTTCAGCATCGTGAGGCACCAGGGAAGCAGCTGCTGCCGGGAAAGAGAGGTAGCAGCTCGATTCGATGGCTTGAGAACATGCCTAACATTCCAGAACTATAAAGACCAGCTAACTGCAGACCCTGGGAGAGCACTCACACGCCTACCTCCTTTCCTTTTCTATTTCAGACATCTCCTGGTCATCTAGTTAATGTTAACTCACTTCAAAGCCAACTGCTATTTCCCTAAGTATGTCTGAAAGGCTAAAAAACTATAGCAAGTGTTCCTTTCACATTTAACCAAATCTAGTGATTCTCTCAGTGTGAAAAAAAGGCACAAAGTCCAAACCCTCCACAAATAAGGCAGATGACTAAGCTGATTATTACAAGTCAATTAACTTGAGTACTACTGTTTTATTTTCATCTTTTCATTCTAGGGTTTGAAGTCAAGTTGCCCCTTACACCCAGCCAGAGTGAATTCCTAGCTGGCCAGTAAGTGGTTTTGGCATGAGCTCCTCACCTGAGCTGGACCAATCACAGGCTTCCCTGAGACTCTCCTGCGAGAGCCATCAGGGTTTCCCTTGCTACGGGGGCTAATAACCGAGTAACCTGTATGTCTGGGCCCGCAGGCAGCCATCTCCCCCCCAAGAGGAGGTTTCCCCCAGCCTGCCCAATGCCAGCTACACCCTCAGCATTCTTATCTTCTTGGAGCTAGACAACTCAAACTAAGCGCTGGGGACTTACCCGTAAGTTTCAGGAAAGTAAGAACATCTTCATATAATGTCAGAAAAGGTTAAAAAACCACTCTGGCTTTTTCTGACATAAAATGCCAGGTTTTACATGGCGTTTCTTACTTTGTTGAGGTGTTGTTTGTGTAAGTTAAAATGGTTGTTATGCAGTGAAGTCTGGCAGCTATGACACTTACAAAGAGACCTGGCAGGGAGATACCCAGCCCTGGGAAATGCGTGGGTTCGATGCTGCCGGGATCCGTTTTGTTCACGTGGATGCCTTTTGTTTCCGGATCCTGGAGCTGTGATGTGCCTTAGCCACGAGGACCTGCTTGTAGACTCAACCTCAACTACCTTTAAGTCGTTAGCCCTTTATCACCCAGCTCAGTGTTTCTCATTATGATTATTGATTGAAAACTGTAAGTCAAAGTCCAAACAGTTATATGAATAGATTGCTGTGCTTCTCATTATGATTATTGATGGAAAACTCTAAGTCAACCCTGGCCGGGTAGCTCGGTTGGAGTGTCATCCTGAGAAGCCAAGGTTGAAGGTTCAATCTCCGGTCAGGGCACGTACAAGAAGAATCAACCAATGCAAGCATAAATAAGTGGAACAACAAATTTCTCTCTCTCAAGGACACTCACACAGGCAATCATTTTGTTTTCATGAGGCCGTACCTACCGGTCTAAATTCTAGTCTCTTTTCTCTCTACAGTTAAGAACATTTCTTACCTTTTTTGATATAGATGATTTCACTTTCTTGAAAGCTTCTTCAAAGTGCTTCTGACTAATCTTGAGTTCACCTGCGGGGCAAAAGCACAAACATACACATCTGGGCACGATATGCTGGTTGTGATTTATAACTTAGTTTCTCTCGAGACTTCCAACCATTCCAGGGGAACAGTGAGGAAAGCGGTGATGACATTGGGGCTAGTCTATTCAGAACAATATTCAAACAAGATGTAGGACCCTTGTTCCTTTTAGCTTCATTTACATATTCCGGACCATATTTAATTTTACTATAAATGGTTAAGTTTTATATAATGTATTTTAGTGCAATCTCCCCCTGATCCAAGCAATCAAAGCAATTTATTTTGGAACAAATTATATAAAAAAATACTTTGTCTTTAATTAGAGAGAGATTTTTACCCCTTTAAAAACAAAAAAAGGTCCCTGTGTATTATTTATTATGCAACATGATCACAAGATATATGCATATACTGCAAAATGATGCCCATAATAAAGTGTGTTAACACCTGTAGCAAAAGCAGGGATGTCAGAATGTGTTCTGTGTTTACAAGACAACGTCCAGACAGAGTCATTAGTAGCTGCCATTGCGTGTATGGTGGTGTTAATTTTTAGTTACAAAACAAACCCCAAGCTAGTCATCAGATCCAGCTCTCAGACAGCCTACTACCACAGATGAGGTCTTTTACAAGAGATTCTAATTTTGCTCATTCTATCCCACCTACTTCCAAAAGGAATTTAAAATAGATGACAATAAAAGAAGTTCAGATAACTGAATCTTAAAATTAACCGAAAACCTCGGGACTTCGTGACTGAGATATGTGTGCGGACGAATCTAAGCTGAGCACATGCTGCTGTAACTGTAAACAAATTTAACTCTAAGATTCCTGGAGGCCTAAGGAAAAAAGATGGGGGGGGGGGGGGGGAATCAGCACAAATAAAAGACGTCTTTTGGAAATCTACCAAGCAAAAAGGAAATCAATGCAGACTTGAATTTAGATAAAGTACAGGTTTAGAGGAAAAGGCAGGCCTTCTGAAGAAGGTATGTATACGGACTGTCAAGGACAGCCACACACTGATGCAACAATTACCTGTCACAGGAACCGAGCAAAGGAAAGGCTATATTCTGTACTTGGCCTGGCTGGACTGCGGGCAGAAAATGAGTCTTTTTTGGCCACACTTACCCAAATCATATGAAGAGACACTGTCAAATGTGAGGAACAGTGCCAAGCTGTTGAGATGGCCCCAAATCATCACACACTAACATGTACTGATTTTGTCTTTTGAAAGGAGAGTCTAAGTGTACGGAAAGTTATTTCAATTTTCATTTCTCACGTGTGTGTGTCTTCTACTTAATATTAATATTTTCTACTTAAAATTTACATCATATTCTGAAAGGTTTCTAAAGGTCTTATCAGACAGTTTTACTGTCACAGATGAGAGACGCCAGACAATGGTCACGTTCCCAATCAGCAGCGGTTCTAGGTGTGCAAAGTGACAACCGAGAGAACTGAGAGCCTCTGGGGAGAAGCGTACCTTTTTCATGTCCACTGTTCTGTCTTGCCATTTCCTGTCTCAGGGCACAGACAGAAGCTTCCCGCACCAAAGCAGAGAGATCCGCGCCCCTGTAATGAAAGAAGTCGTCTTACTTATTTATTCTTAGATATTGTTTAGGCCAGAGCAATTTTCTTTTAAGTCGCATATTAAACAGTCAGAAAAGAAACTGACCAATAAATGTGGGATAAACTAATTATAGTCAGTAGGAAAGAGTTTTAGCTTTCACTTAAAATATTTGTAACTTTCAGAAGGAAGGAAATCATGGAGGAAACAATGCAATGAATCATAAATAGTCCCATGGTAACAGCTATAGATACCCACGTTAATATAAAAAGCTTAGAACATCGCCCGACTAGCATGGTTGTGGTTGAGCATCCACCTATGAACCAGGAGGTCATGGTCTGATTCCCAGTCAGGGCACATGCCTGGGTTTCGGGTTCGATGCTCAGTAGGGGGCGTGCAGGAGGCAGCTAATCAATGATTCTCTCTCATCATTAATGTCTTTCTCTTCCCCTCTCTGAAATCAATAAAAATATACTAAAAAGAAAAAAAAAGCTTAGAACATCATCAGTAGAAAGAAAGTGACACACCATTTATTGTAGATTTTTGTTCACACGGCCTGTGCTAAGTGCTGATGGCCCATTCCTAAATTACTTCACGTCTAAGACAAGCTTATATATAAAAAGTCATTTATGGCTCCATGTTCAAAAGGGGAAAATACAAAGGCTATAAAGTCTTTGATGTATTTGATTCAAGCTCAAGCTAAGTGGACTCTTAAGTTACTTAAAATATGACAAGAACTAACAAGCCTTCATTTAATTATTCCATGTGATAATATGCTGACTCCACTTGAGTTCAATAGAAGACAATGGTGCTGACTGGTGTTTCACTATATTTTAACATCTTGACCAGGTCTTGGCGATCCTTTGAGAAAGAGCTTGAATTTGGGACAAAAACCTTATTTCCAGACATTAACCTACTTTATTATACAATGTTGATGACCCATGTAATATATAAAATGAAAGACCCACAGAGTTTAAATTATTAACTGAATCCAATGTTTCTGTTGTAAAATGTTAGGGTTAGAACATTAGCTAATAATCACATACATGCTGGGCTCGTTGAGACCATCTTAAATGAGCCAAGGTTACTGACCAGAGCTCATCTCTCTCAGGGCCTGGGGGTGGCAGAACAAAGATTGACACTCAGAGTCTAGATGCCCATATAGTAAAAAATTGGAGATAAAACGTCTCTGACCACATCCCTAAAAACGATCAGCATGGCTTCAAGTGAAGTCATATTGGTAAGAGATGGTGATGGGACTTCTTCAACGCGGACAGGAGATAACGGAGGGCCTGCCTGGGTTACACCAGCGCAGTGGTTCTCAACCTGTGGGTCGAGACCCCTTTGGGGGTCGAACGACCCTTCCACAGGGGTCGCCTAAGACCATCCTGCATATCAGATATTTACATTACGATTCATAACAGTAGCAACAATACAGTTAGGAAGTAGCAACGAAAATAATTTTATGGTTGGGTCACAGCATGAGGAACTGTATTTAAAGGGCCAGAAGGTTGAGAACCACTGCTCCAGTGGATGTGTTCTTTGTCTGTAAGTTTACGTTGCTGAATGACAGATTCCTGAAGTTCTCAACAATGAAAACCCTGCCTCCGTCCACATTATTTGGCCTTGACCTACAGATACATCATGAACCCCAAGTATATTGTGGACAGTCAACAGAGCCTTTCAAATAAGCCAGAGACATCTTCCCCTGATAAGCTTGTTTCATTTCTTCCTGTATACTCAAACGGGAAAGTTAACCAATTTCCTTAAAAACATATGAAAAAAAAACCCAACACCACCAAAAATACATCCACCACACAAATATGAGTGCTGAAGGCAGAAATGTTTCACTTCCTGCGTTTACTACGGGCTGTGTGGATGCTCATGGGTGCATGTGCTGCGAAGTCAGTTCTGAGCCATGGAAATGAGCACACATCGCTTATTCTCTTCGAAATGCTGAGGCACTTGGATAACCGGTCACAAATACTCCGAAGGACGGACGGACAGACAGTATGTGAAGAGCAGCCATGGTGGTCAGGACAGCTGAGTAACAAGAGTCAACACACGAGAGGACCCCCCCACTTCCGAAATACCTCCTCGTGGGAGATGCTTCTCTAAGATGGAAAGAGCAGGAACGGGCCAGACACTACACCAGGGGCCCCACAGGATACCCGACTTAATCCTCCCAGCATCGTCCTTCTCCGTCATGTGACACACGAGGACACTGAGCCTCAGAGAGAGAACGAACTTGAGACTGAGATCCTTACGAATAGCAATCGCAGCGCTGGTCACCAGCAATCGCTTCCAGGTTGACATCTGTGTCCAGTGGGGGTTTGGTGCCATTCTGAGTGAGAGAGAAAAAACTATTTGTCATTGAGGGTTCAATGACCGATACGTTTCCACATGCAAGGTTCTTAATAAACAGCACTGGCTACGTGACTAAATGAATATAACTGACTCCCGCAGCAGTGTTACAAGATTTTTACAAATTTCCATTTTGAGAAATGAGGTTAAGAAGCAGGCTCCAGCCCTAACCAGTTTGGCTCAGTGGACAGAGCATTGGCTTGCAGACTCAAGGGTCCCAGGTTCGATTCTGGTCAAGGGCATGTACCTTGGTTGCGGGCACATCCCCAGTAGGGGGTGTGCAGGAGGCAGCTGATTGATGTTTCTCTCTCATCGATGTTTCTAACTCTCTATCCCTCTCCCTTCCTCTCTGTAAAAAATCAATAAAATATAT